GAAGTCGAACCATGACAGTGCAGCGTATGTTCTCAACACATTAACCACCACGGCACATCACCAGCCAATATAAGTTTTCCTCACCGACAATCCCATCATAGAATGTGATATGGGAAGATGCTTAGCCTTAATTGAACTTTACATCTCCCCTGTGACCCAAGAGCCCTCGTGGAAATGTGACGTAGTGGTTAACATGTCTTGATTATACGCTACACTGTCATGATTTGACTACCGCTGGGGATGTTGATAAGACGTGAGCGAGGTCGAAACTGCAGTTCGCTCTGGTTGAGAGCACATTTAAGGAAAACAAGGCTGTGTGAAATTCAATGGTGACGCCACGTATACTCATATCATTGCGACAAAATGGGGTGAATACATCTCGTATAAGAAATGTGTTCATCCCATGTCGTATAAGGTCATGAAGATATTCGATCTAGACAAGGTTGAATTTGCAGTTCTTTCTACGTGAAAATTCCTTATATGAGATGTATTCACCCTATTTCGTCTAAAGTGATGAAGGACTGGTAGTAGAATTGTGGAAAAATTCTCTTACCAGTCCTTTATCACCTTAAACGAAATAGGGTGAATACATCACATATTACTGATTTACTGGTAGTCTCGAAACTCTACTATAATACGAAAATTCCTTAGGCTAAGGCTTATTCATTTCAATGGTGGAAAATCCAACGATCGGTTCTTCATCACCATATGAGAACTCTGGTGACTAGATATCTTGCAGAGAATGTAATCGCAAACTTTGATATTACCTCCACTTATCCTTCAAGCATCGGACCGTTTCCAGGCTAGATTATCAAAAGTATCAGTGACATTCTAGTCGAAATTTTGAGTAAGGACCGAAGCTTGCCAAATCAAAAAGCCTCCAATTTCTAGCCCCCCTTTCAAAAGTCTTAAGATACTCGTTCCCTACTAATCCTGATGAGCATTATATAAGCGCCTCTGCAAATCATTTCAATGAGCATAACATTTAAATATATGTGATAAAAATTATCATTGACTCCTTCTTCCAGTCTTCTAATGATCAGAGCACTCCACAACGGCTTCTCATATTTTTCTCATCATTGTTTCGGTTTCGTGGACTGTCAATCGCCTAATTGCAATCGAGGCTATGCTTGCTTGAGACTGGGCGATGTATACTGCCAATTTTTATTCTTGTTTTTTCATCATGCTCTCTTACATAATCGGATTTAAGTCCTGTATATATAAATTTGTCCATTTTTTCGGATTGTGTGGATAATTTCTTAAACAGGGTCATCGCTTTCTATGGGATTCCCCTAATGATTATATACCCTTGATGAGGCTTGCAATTTCATGGTCCAACCGAATGGGAGTAGGACTTTCTTTCTCTGGTGTCCTCACTTTCGCATTATTCGTGATTTCGTTTCTTTAGCTATATGTCGCGATTAGTTCTGTAATTTTTCCAGTTAAAATGTCGTACTAGTCATGGAGCTCAAAGAGATTATAGCATGTAAAGTCATGCAATTGATTTTATTCCATTTAAAAATATGAATACAAGTTTCCAAACAGAAATGTTTTCTTTATTTATTAATGCGATCAAATAGATAATACTATTCTAATAGAATTAAAAACCAAAGGATTATTATTAGCAAGGCAATACAGAATAGTATTTGAAAATAGATATTGTATCTAAAAAGGTACTTTTGGAGAAATGGAAAATTTATGTACTTCTCAAACGTGATGCTAGGCTTCCTAATACGTATGGTCTGCCTGAAATTCACAAAGAAGTGGTCCCACTTAGGATCATTGTGGACAATAGGGGTTGTGTGATACATAAACTATCATGATTCATTTGTGGCTAATTAAAGAAAATCTCAGGTTTTGGAAATTTTTAATAAAGAGTTCCTATGACTTTTTTAAGTTACTAGGCGAGCAAATAATGGATCAAGAAGATTTGCTTGTAAGTTTTGATTTAGTATCGATGCACACGAATGTACAGATAGGTTGGGCTATACAGGCATTAGGATTAACCTTAGATCTACACCAAGAGATAATATCAGGAAATTGGATAAACAATTCCCTATGGAGTTAGAAAAAGAGAATAAGTTAACCTTTTTAGATGTCCTAGTTATTAAATGCTGGTTTCCTTCTTTATTTCTTCTCGAACCATACTTATGGTGTAAAGGTAGGCATAATGAACTCAATGATACTGAGGAGGTTCGCCTAGTTGACGTAACTAATCAAGAACAAGAGTTAGAATGGCTAAGAAAAATCTTAGTTGAGAACAATTACCTTGCAGGAGTAATTGTTAACAATTTCAAACTATTGAGAAATAGGGTGAAGGAAAACCATTATTTTGGCCAAAACAATAAATTAGGCAACTCTTCGTCCAGGTTCCTAATGTTACCATCCTGCAAGCTTTTAAGAAAGATAGGCGAATTATTGGGGAAATGGAGCGTCAAGACAATGTATAAAGAAACAATAACGCCTTTAGATAATCTTCCTACGCCCTCTGCAGATCAGGTTGATATAAGGTTTAATGCTTATGTGGTAGTGTTTATGTGAGGAAGACTTGTCGACCCATACATAAGGGGCTATCACAACACAGAACCGCCTGCAAAGGTTGCTGGATTCAGAACTCTGGGGTGGATGAACATGTGGTCGCTACAGGACACCAGATAGAGTGGTCAAAATCACAACGTTTTGATGGATATGGGGACCTCACAGCTAAGTGGAAGATCAGCAATAGATGGAAAATAACAAAACAATTAACATTTTGAATAAGAGCGACGGCTGTAGGAAACTAAGTAAGACCTATCTCTGGCTGCTGGATAGCATTTGAGAAAGAGGGAGAGGGAAAGAAAGAGGAAGAGCCGCTGAGTAAGAGGAGAAAACTTGACTAAGCTGGAGTGTGGTTTAGGAACTACAATTGCCAAGCCACACGTGAGTGTTGCATACACACCTGAACACGCATTTACGAAGCTAGAACAAACCTCGGAATTATTTGCATAGACAAAAGTTGTCCTCACATCCGGTCCCCTTCCGGCATCACTTTCACTCGCATACATGCATTAAAGAGCCAACCAAATCATGGAAGGCCTCATTAAGATCGCAAAGCGAGGTATAAGAAGCAAGTAGGATCTCAGCCAGCCACCTTTCTTGGTTTAGTGCTTTTGGTGATTGTTCGTGAATTATGGTTTCTAGTTCTGACGATGCCCGCCACATGATGGACGAAAGCTCAGCATGGAGTCACCGGCATAGTAGGACAACAAGCGGAGGTCTTCTTCGCAGACTTTGACAGACAAAAACCCAAGACAACCCTTCTTCTGTATCCGGCGACGCTTTCTCAAACCAGATGAAGGATATGTCAGTAGCATTCTACTAAAGAATTCCTCTAAGCTCAGCTTTCTTCATATAATACCAAAATTGCAGTATTGAAGACTGGAAAAAGACCTTGTTTAGAGAGGAATCAAAATTTGACGTTTACGACTGCAATCGGAGAGCCTATGTGAGGAGAAGGACGTAGGAATGGTTGAAGCAGCAGTACATAAAACCTGTAGTCAAACATGATGTTGGGGCTATTCAGGTGTGAGGATGTTCTACCTATTCTGGAATTGGTGACTTGCCCAGAATCAACTAAACTTTGACTTTTGTATGCGAAAGCATACCATATCCTTTGGCTCAAAGTTTTATGGGAGAGGATTCCTTTTTCAGCAGGATAGTAATCCTAAATATACACTTCAGCTGCGCTAGACATGTTTAAGTCGCATGAAGAGCAAGAGTAATGACTTGCATGGCTTTCCCTTCTCAACAGCCACCAGAGCTCAACCACATTGAGCATTCTTGGGAACATTTAAAAAGAAGATAAGGATAGTGTAGCATAACAATACATTCTCTTGAATTTTTTAGAACAAAATGGAATAATATATATACTCGGAGTCTGCGAAACAGGTAGAATTTATGATAGATCTAGTGTAAGCGGTGATCAAGGCAAAAGGTGGTTATTGTTGAGCTTACTTCCATTTCGAGTGAAAGTGTTGGGTGAAGAGATTCGAAGGTCGGTTCCACCAG